TGTTGGCTCTGCGCTGCCGTAGCGCAAAGATGTCTGCCTCCATGGCTGCGAGACCCGCTCCTATGTAATTATAAATAACTAATTCGAAGGCAACACAAATATTAAGGTTAAGAGGCTGAGCTCGTAGATGATGATAAATAACATAGTTATGTATAATATATTTTATTTCTGACTGTATATCCCTGTAATTATTACACACTGTAGCTTTAAAAAATACGTAAAATTAAAATGATTGGTTTGCTGTTGCCATGGTTCCCCATCAATATAGGATCAGTGTCTAATAATTTAAGAACTGCAATACTACAATAAAACTAGTGATCTTTTCTTCTTTGACTTGTTCAACATAAGTCACTTCTTACACTGCCCCAAAACAGAGAAACTATAAACATGTTAAACATATCAAAACATTCAAAGACAGGCCTATTTGCTAACAAATAGGCTGGCAACTCGCACTGGCCCTCTTTTTATAAGCCTTCACAGCAACTGGCACTGGCCCTCTTTTGCTAAGCCTTAACGCCAACTGGCACTTTCCCTTTTTTTGGTAAGCATTCGCTGCAACTGGCCCTGGCCCTCTTTTGGTAAGCTTTCACGGCCACTGGCATTGGCCCCCTTTTTATTAGCCTTGACAGCTACTGGCACTGGCTGTCTTTTGGTAAGCCTTCACGGCAACTGGCACTAGCTCTCTTTTGGTAGGCCTTTGCGGCAACTTGCCCTCTTTTGGTAAGCCTATGCGTTAACTGGCACTGGCCCTCTTTTTGTAAGCCTTCACGGCAAATGACACTGGCCCTCTTTTCGTAAGCCTTCACAGCAAATGTTACTGGCCGTCTTTTAGTAAGCCTTCACGGCAACTGGCCCTTTTTTGGTAGGCCTTTGCGGAAACTGGCCCTGGCCCTCTTTTGGTAAGCCTTTGGAGCAACTGGCCATGGCTCTCTTTTTGTAAGCCTTCATGTGAACTGGCACTGGCACTCTTTTGGTAAGCCTTCACAGCAACTGGCAAGGGCCCTCTTTTAGTAAGCCTTCATGGCAACTGGCCCTGTTTTGGTAAGCCTTTGTGGCCACTGGCATTGGCCCCTTTTTGTAAGCCTTCAGGGCAACTAGCACTGGCCCTCTTTTTGTAAGCCTTCGCTGTAACTGGCCCCTGCCCTCTTTTAGTAAGCCTTCAGAAAAACTGGCACTGGCCCTCTTTTGGTAAGCCTCCATGGCAACTGGCATTGGCCCTCTTTTTGTAGTCCTTCATGGCAACTGGCCATGGCCCTCTTTTCGTAAGCCTTCTCTGTAACTGTTCCTGGCCCTCTTTTGGTAGGCCTTCATGCCAACTGGCACTGGCCCTCTTTTTGTAGTCCTTCACGGCAACTGGCCATGGCCCTCTTTTGGTAGGCCTTCATGCCAACTGGCCCTGGCCCTCTTTTGGTAGGCCTTCATGCCCACTGGCCCTCGTTTGGTAGGCCTTCATGCCAACTGGCACTGGCCCTCTTTTAGTAGGCCTTTGCTGCAACTGTCCCTGTTTTGGTAAGCGTGAGAGAGTCATGTTTTTCTAAATTAATATGATCTTGTCTTTTATTGTGTGTTACTAACGTGGTTTGCAGTGTGTTTCTAGAGTCTCAGATTGCTTCTTCTTTTGTCATGGGTTCCTGTGCCTTATTGGATTTTAAAGTAGAATAATAAAGTTTGTCTTCTAATTGTAAAATAATGCATAAATAAAATATATAATTTGTATACTAATTCTGTTTCCTCATTTTAAGCCAGACCTATCTATGTACATTTAATTGGGAGACCCTAGGCCACTTGATGTAATTTTTAGCGGTCTACTAGTTGGTTTAGGGCCACGTCCTCGGTCACAATCCAGGTAATTCCCCCGTGTTACATGTGCATGCTGTCATATTGGCCTCAACCTCGGCAATTTTTTGAGGGGGAAACAGCCCTGTTCTACGGTGGCTGAAAAGTGCAAAACACATTTACAATTCAAAAACACATTAACAAATAAAAAACAAAATAACATTTGAAGAAACAAAATTTTATTTTATGAAACAAATGTATTTTTGAAAAGAAAGTTTAAATTTTTAAAAACAAAGTTACATTATAGCAAACAACTTTACATTTTAGGAAACAAATTCACATTTTAAATAAGTTATAATTTAGGTGAGAGAAAGTTTCATTTTCGAGAAAAAAAATACATTATAGGGAAACAAATGTACATCTAAAAAAAAATTGGCCATTCGGAAACACTTGTACAAGTGCAAAGACAAAACTGCAATTCTAAACCTTCATATCGTTACACCCAGAGGGCAAATACTTCCTTCTTTGGCATTTTGCAATTCTCTACGCTCTAAAACTGTGAATTGCAAAAGCTCTTCTTATCAGGTGGTTTAACATGACGTTAAGCCCAGGAGGTAAAAAATTTTAACTGATTTTTTAAAGAGGAGCAGGTGGGGCCTCGGTTCCTTATAACTGACAAACTCCTCGGTAGTGCAAAAATGTTTTCATTTTCAGTTTGCAGTTTTTCATGTGCCGCTTCTTGAGTAGGCGTTTGGGCAAAGTCTGTCTGCATAAAAAGGCACAGATTCCACAATCAGATCATCTGACAGAGCTGGAACGCCTGCCTGCAGAGCTTCTCCTACTCCAACAGACGGTAAGACGGGACGTTTTCCTCTCATCCACTTTAAAGCAGCCTCTCCAATCTCAGGCTCTACTTTACAGCAGCTTCAACATCTAAATATGAAGCCGCACAGATTTCTGCTCATTTAGAGCTTCTGTACCTTCATGTAGATTGTATACCTTTTTCTAAAAATCTACATAAACAAATGACAAATAGCTTTTAATACAAATGTCAAAAGCTGTTTGAAATAGTTAACTCTGACATCTATGCAATCACTGCCAACAGGTGTATTAAAATATTTTTTGTTTTAAAAACAGAATGTTGCAGGTACACATAAAAAGGACAAAAGGTAAAACAACTAATAAATCAACCAGCTGACATCTCATTGGTGAAGAAGGTTAAAGGGGCCAAAATGAAAAAAATAAATAAATCTGTGATAAAATAAAGATAAATGCACCATGATTACATTTACAATGAAATTAGGAAATATGAAATCAAATATTTAATAAACTATTAATTTATTTATAACATTCGTCAAACAGTTAAATGTGCCATTAAATAATGAAATGTAAAATGATAAAAGGTGTGTAATTATATTATAAGATAAACCTTTCAAAGTTTGAAATCACTTAGATTTCATTTTTTAAAACAAAATAATCAGATGTCATCTTTTCGATCTGTATTTATCTATTTCATGAGGAAAAAAGTGACAATTTTTTTTACTGTCAGCCTTACCCAAACTCAGTGGGCGGGGCCAGGGTCATTTCTATAGAGACATCTAGCTGGCTGAAGAAAACTCGTTCCT